TATCTCCTCCTAGACGAATAGTCGTGGATAAACGAGGCGTACCAAGGGACAGATCTGTGAGAGGAGTCTCCGGGTGGACGAGAGAAATTAGGTCCAGTCAGAGGTTCCACGGTCGCGGACAAGGCCAACGGAACACAGAGGCAGGCCGTCGAAGATGATATCTGACGGCAAACAAGCCGGCACGTTAACGAGCTCGTGGACCAGAGGGAAACGACGAAAAGGGCCGATAGACGAGGCCGAAACGACGAAGGAAAGCCCCGAAGGGCGCCGGCAAATGCCTTGTCCTACCGGTGACAACTTCGATCAGAGAGCCACGATGTTATCTCTGTGTATGTTAGGTAACCGGGAGACTGAATCGTTGTCCCAAACGCCCAACTATTGCCCCTAAACGATCCTCCGACAAACGTGCAGGCGAACCTTACGGTACAAGTACACACGTACTCTTGCACCATTGGCGAAGAAGAAGAAAAAAAAAGAAGAACGGAAATTCGTGACTATGTGCCGGAGGTGTACTTTCTAAAGGGTGTATTCGAAAGCTGTGTGCAATGGCTGCTGCGTGCACGGGCGATTTAAGGCGGCGCGCTTTTCCAGAAACGCGATTCTTCGGCTCGTTTCAGGCATAAACAATATTGTAATTGAGGATTAACGAGAGAATAGCATGCGGACCGCTACCTCGTTTACCGCGGGGAATCGATTCGCTGAACAGCGTTTAGCAGCGGTTCTCAACGAGCTTGGAGACATTCTCTCCCGTGGAACAACCAAGAATTTATTCTCGGAACAGCGGTATTTTTGTGTTACACGTACATATATAATCATCTCCGTGCCAGAGGTTAGCCAGAGATTATTTTCAAACCGTCGCCATCTCTCGTAAATATCGATCGGAAAATCTGAGTAAAACCGGGCTATAAATAAACAGTGCTTACGTTTAATCAGCATCGTCGGTTTCACTTACATACGTACAGAGAAAATTCAAATGCCAACCCTGGATTTCCCTGCTCCGGGTAAAATTGCCTATCGGCGAGGCGACTTCCGGTCGCCAGCACGCGATCCACGCGGAGGATCGAGGTGAAAGCCGTGGATTGCACACGGTTTCCAAGTAAACAGACAGATTTTCTATCGTGTGCGTGTGTGTGCTCGAAAATTCCTGTCTTCCTCTCTCGAGGTCGGTGTTTCCATCTTCTTTCTCGAGAATTCTTCGCGCGACAGATCTTTCTGGTCGGATCGATGTCGAGAATCGAGGAAAGATCGTAACGAACGTTGCGTTCACCGACGATTTCATTGTTGCTCGGAGCCGGTAACGGGATAACGATCGCGATATTTCCCCGGCGGAGTGACTCGCGCTTAGATACGCTCGCGGATAAGCTACGTTTCCGTGCTGATCGCGGTGAAACGCGACGACGTTTGATTCGAGGGTGTTGCGTTACCGTTTAGCGTCGCTTAATTAATACAGAGCGCGCGAGCGCGAGCCGCGAGGCGTACGTGCCTGATCGAAATCTCGTCACGAACCACCCGTCGTTTCTCATGCGATGAATTTTAAAGGCCGATGACAAATACGCGACCGGCAATCGCGGCTGCTTAGCGAGAAGAATCCGTGACATCATTCGCGGACGCAGAAATAATCCGTGATCACCTTGTTCCCTCCGATTCGATGGAAATACCGATACGGTTCGACTTCGCGTTCGGTGAAAATGATGAAGAAGATTGGAGTCGAGTGTGTTGGTATTAGAATCTTTCCTAATTTTTTCTATTCTCTATTTTTAATTGCAATTTTTATATTTGGTCCGTTATTGTGGAACAGTGTCACGAAGATCTAAGTAAATTTTAAATTGGGAAATTGTTTAATTTTATTCGAGAAGATTGAGGAATTTATCAGTGAAATAAATACAAAGGGCATAGGATGAAAAATGAGAAACGTGTTCATCTCCAAAAATATCGAAACACCTTGAAAAATGGAAAAATTTGGGAAATTCGAAGAATCTCAGATCTGAAGAATTCCCTACGCTATTAACCCTTTCATTCCATTCATACCACCTCTACGAAAAATTCATTAAACCATAATTGATCTCCGAGACACGAAACACTCTGCGCGTCAGCATCCACAAACTCCACTCACAATTAGAAAAAGAAAAAAAATATTCCGAATACCAAAGAGTTCTCAGCAGTGTGATTACACAAACTCTGGAGCATCTTATCAATGAACCGTCATAACGGATCTTAATCGAGGACGATGAGAAGACGAGTATAGCTTGAAGAACTCGCGACACCGTTTTTTCCCCGCCTGTTCCTACGATCAGGGCAGCGCCACGCTTCTGATTGTTATTGATCAACCGTTTCGACTGCGGCGTGTATACACTCGCACGCGCACGCATCAAAGCGGGAGGAGGTGGAGGACGAGTGCACCACGTAAACGTGTGTAATATACAAACGCAGGCAGAGGCGAACTGGCACGCCACGCGGCTCTATAACGCTGCCGCGACACAGCGAATATAGAGACGGCGGACCTTAATGAATCTTTATGGGATGGTGTCGTGAACTTGTGTACCCTCCGGTGACTGACTGAACCCGACCGCGCCGCTAACCATTGGCGCGCCTCTCCGCCGCGAAACGCTTCTATTCTCGTTTCCTCTACGCTCCGCTTTTTTCATGTTCTACCACGCTGCAAATCGAGACAGATTTGCACTTGGAACTTTTGCTCGCCGCGTGATAAATTTCACTCTAACCGGGATATCTCTCGTGAACTTGATGCTAATTTCTTTTGGGAAATACCGAGTGTATGAATATTCGAACGTCTGTCGACGATTGATCGAACTTCTCGAGGTACGATTATTGTGGAATAAATTAAGAGTCTTCTTTCAGTTTCTAAATTTAACCCTTTCACTGCTGTTGGCGTTTGGAAAATTTTGGAGAATACTCAGCGCTTATTCTGCTCACAGTGTGAATCTTTAATTGTTGTTCTCTGCACACTTCCACCCTTAATCCAATCGAATAAATTTTAAAACGTCGCGACCGAAATCTGCCGTAGCAAAAGGGTTAACGAATGCGCCCCAAAAGAGGCGAGATAATTCCTCACTCTCTGTACGATCAAGCTAAGTTAACATCCAACGTTTCAAACTCCAAAATGGGACACTTTAGTAGGACAACACATTTGAAAAATTTCATCTTCCGCGACTGGTGTTAGGAAAAAAACTAAGGGAGAAGACTACGCCAATGCGACGGGCTGCTCATTAGCCCCGACGTTGTCGCGGGTTTGATAGTGTTGACGTGTGCGCGTCGGTGTTGGTAAAATTTGAAGGGCGTGCAGAAGGTCCGTGGGGTCCCGACGAGTCGCGTCTTGATTGTCATCAAGCCGTTGCTCGTCTCGTGATATTGTCATTAGCGCGGCAAGCTCGAGGAACTCTGCTCCGTCGTTCTTTCCACACGCGAACAGAGAGACCCACTTTGCTTTTCGTCGGATCGATCGGGACTAGCCGATCGATACCCATTCGAACGCTTCTCACGATCCAACGACCGCACGGATCACCGATGCCCCGTCGATAAACATTCGATAAACGTCCCACTATCGATGGGAAATCTATCGATGAACAACGATTAGGGGAATTAGTTTGTCATCTTTTATTTACGCTTGTCCCAGTTCCTTTCTCTGGATAGCAGATAGACATGCATTAAAGATGGAGAAGTGATTACGGCAGATGAATTCATTTCGAGGTTGAATCGGGAAGATGAATGAAAGCTTGAAAACCTCGTTTTAGATAGCGATCGAATATGTGGACTTTTTCACCTGCGATGTAAATTAGCTGCTTCTTCCGAAAGCTGTTCGATATTTCTACTGAGGATCTTTAATTTGCGAATAAAGATCGACTCAATCGACCGCAGAGAAAAAGAACGTTTATCGATAGAAATGTAATACAAAACAACGGAGGCGAAAACCCGAGTGAAAAACAGGTACTCAGTTCGGGGTTGTCGCACGACTGTTTAAAATGCGGAGAAGCATTTGTTATATACTTGAACCACGGTCAGCGGACCCATGGCTTTTATGGCCCGGCCTGGGTCTACGTTAAGCAGAGAAAAATTCCAAATATAATCTATCTAGCGACCGATAGAAGTTTCACGTTTAAAAGTGACTAATCGTGGATTGCGCGGGATTAACTTGCACGATTATCGGGACGTAGAAAAGTGACGATTCGATGAAGGATAAAATTGCCGGTGTACTTTCTATCGAATTTCCATTTGAAACTTCGTAGTCTATGCACCGATAGCTTTCGAGCAATCGAGAATCACTTAATTCGCCTTTCAGTTGCTGTACAGTTATCTCTAACAATCGCTGTCTTTATACCGAAGTTGCACCGACTTCAAAAACTACAATTATATACGCAAAAAGTTTTAATACGGAGGAAGGTAGATAATGCAGAAATGTGCTGGTAGCTAAGCTCTATAGTCTGTTTAGAATCAATGCCCAGTCAAGGTCGCTTCCCCCACCATCGATGGGAGACCCTCTCTGACTTACATTCGCAATAACTCGCAAACCGCAATGAAAGTGAAGAAAATAAAATGCAGACAAGATCTCCACGTCCTTAATCCCACTTTTAACCCTTTAAATTAACCAACTGAACTCAATAAAATTGCAAAGGGGATAGATACTGTCATATCGAAAGCTT